AATTACCCACCCACCTCATGTATTAAAAACAATTTCATAGGTATCAAATACTATAACATGCTATAAAGGTAAAGATGCGATTGTTTTGATTATAAAAATTAAAACAAAAATGAATCAAAAGAAACAAAAATTGCTGTAAAAGGAAACCAAATTAAATACAGACTGGTTATGCTTTAAAGTTTGTCAGATTCTCTGTCTGTGTATGTGCGTGTCAGTGCATCTCAATGTCAAATATGCTTGTTGTCGTAAGAAACCTCTTAAAACTCATTTGATTAAACTTCACTTGATGCAGTACGTAATACAGCGCTAAGTCTATACGAATAATACCTGTTAAAATACATCTCTGAATGATTGACAGATTAAACGAGCAGACTTATCATACCGAACATAGAAAAAAAAAGCGTATTTTGCAGTGCTTGTCTTCAGGTACCATGCACAACAATACGTATATAGTGTAACCTTTACAATCCGTCTTACGTCGTTTGAACACGATAACTACATCAATACCAAACCTCAACAAAATTATGTAATTGGCGTTGTAAAACGTCATCTAGGACCGATTAATTATCGTAGAATGATTGACTTTATTGTATTTAGCAACAAATTAACAAAATGGGCGTACAGAAGATGTAATCTGACTGAAACTCACAGACCCCAAATGGGTAGTAGACTATAATCCAGTTTGAACAGAATAAAGACCATAATGGAATAAACTTATATCCGCACAAACGAATTACCGAAAATCAAGGAATGTGCATTTATTGATTCCCAGTAGACTTTTATATTATAAAATAAATCTTTGGTACTGTAAAAATCCACGTATTTCTCTATAATTATTAAAAAATATGATAAAGGAGTAAACTTGTATATAAATGAAGTGACCTACGAAAAAACATACATTGTTTCGCCTGTCAATGTTCTTGCATAAGTAGTAATAGTAGTAAAACAGCAGCAGCAGCAAGAACAACAGCCTGGATTAGTAGCAGCATCAGCAGCAATAATAGTAGTTGTGTTAGTAGGATATAAGGCAGCAGTAGTAGGGGTAGTGGTAGTAGCAGACAAAAAATATACCAAATATTTAAGGTCAAAGAACAATTGAATAAATGATTAAATAAACTTACCTTTTCTTCTGCCAATCAAAAGATAATAAAATTTTGTCTTCTAAGTAGATGCCGTCAAAGAAGGTCACTAACTAATTCCAGATACAGCATGTTGGTCAAATATACCTCTCTATCGTTATTGCTAATAATTCACAGTCGTCTCAGTAAAATCCAAAGTGCAGAAATTCGATAAATTAACAGCTTAAATTCTTCCAGTCAACTTTATTCCAATGGGGAAGTGTCTTGTAACACGTGGGAAAATCGTCCAGGATGATTGGAGGCTGGTGTGGGTCTATTGCGACAACAGTCGGCCCACTCGGGGGGTCTCAAACGAGGCTCACACGTCGCTTCTCTACTTATTCTCGAAGAGGTGTAGAATGGGAACTGTCATAATCAGAGAGACAAACTGCTGTGTGTGGTACTTGAGCAAACTGCGCTTTTGTCCATTATAAGAGCTATAAAGATATCTCCAGGTTACACAGACAGATCCCCAAGTCTCAGACAATTGGCGCTTCTCTATTGTAGGGCTTACTGATACATCGCTCAATATCTCCCCTTTAAATATTCAGGCTGTATTTGTTACGGAGATCATCCCAAGCCGCCACGACCTATCAAGCCTTAAACCATACGATTTAGTAAGAAAGTGAACTAGATAAACTTAAATTGTAAGATACGGTGTTTTGTTCAATAGCTCGCAGTAAATCACAGTAAGTGTGTTGCGAAGTCTAGTTAATTACTTCTTTTTTTCGTTCTCTTATAATGCTTGTATTCATTCGCAACCGTCTATCAAAGATGGGTATAATGCATCGTGGGTTAAAAGGCTGGATGATGTGATAACAGCACAAGTTGGAATAAAAAATACATTTTAAAGACAGATTATACAGCCGTACTCATTTCGTTTGGTAAATTTGTTACAATTGTTCCCAAACGACTCACCGCACTCATTGCGAGTGAGCTGACCCCAACTCACTTGTGTTAAAGTTTTACTTACGAGCGTCGTCTTTTTACTAGTACCACCTGGCGAGCTATATCCCATGCTGGGTTGTGAATGAAATCGTCGATCAGTTTTAGGTAAACAGTGAATATTGTGGCTAGATTTTAGTCGGTCGACCGACACCATTAAACAAGTTACAAACGAGACATTTCTAGTGCACCGTATATTATCACTTACGAGATGTAACACGAGCAGCCTAATTGTCCCTCTAAACTTGAATATATCTCTTTGTGAAATCTCAGTCTCAAAAGATATCTTGAATTTGTAAATTAATATTCACTCGGGCCAATAGTAAATACAATTAATTATTTATTTAGACATATTTTGGGCTCTGGTAAAGCCCCACCTATTAATGTTGTAAATTATGGCATTTTTTAACATTTAAAATATGTCTAATTTTATAGTATTAGAAACTGATTTTACTTAATTAGAAAATGTCCTTATTGTAGTGCAACATGATTTTTTTATATTCGAAAATTATATTTTATATAATAAAACCAGTTTCTATTCTAAGATTAAATACTATTATAAAATAATTTCTCAAACATTTTATATCATCCATTTCGGCATAGAAAATATTTGTCCAATATAAGAAAGTCATTCTTTTTCACCAGAAAATACTTAGTTTCCTAATATTAGAAATACATACCGATGGCAATGAGTATCAGAGACCTAAAATAATGATTTATCTCTTGATGAGAGAGAGAGAGAGAGAGAGAGAGAGAGAGAGAGAGAGAGAGAGAGAGAGAGAGAGAGAGAGAGAGAGAGAGATTATCTTCAGCCGTTTGTTCACAGAGAGAAAGAGGGAGGGAGGGAGATTTTAACGCTGAGCGCCAGCGAGGCAGCTGTTAGTACAATTTTTTTAAGATCTTTTGTATGACTCTGCTGGGGATCAAACCCTCGACCTCCCGCATCCGAGGCGGACGCTCTAACCACTAGGCCACCATAGTGGTTAAGAGAGAGAGAGAGAGAGAGAGAGAGAGAGAGAGAGAGAGAGAGAGAGAGAGAGAGAGAGAGAGAGAGAGAGAGAGAGCATATTTCAAAATTTAAAGGTGCAAACTTTATTTCAACTTGTTAGTAACAATTTCGCCAGATATACACGTAAGGAATCTGGTGACAATTGTCAGCTCGCGATTTGTCCGTATAGGGTAAGCGACTATGTATGTCACAATTCTAGAAAATGTCTTTGCTGTTTCTGAGGCCATCATAACTAATACCTTTAAACTATTTTGCCTAATAAGGCGTCAGGCTTAATTCATATAATCGTGAATCAAAACATATAATGTGGAGTCCAGTGATATCACTTTCGTCTATGGTAGATAGGTGTCAATTTCTAATTAAAATTTCTCGGTGATACCTGGCAATTAAAATTGAAATTCATTGGGTTTGTGTACAGTATGGAGTGTGCAACTCAGCTTGCCTGGAGAGTGAGTTCTCGTGCACCTCGAGTCCTTAACTTCGATCATGTTCTACCCTTAGGAAAGAAATAAAAAAAGTAAATTGTTTGCTCTTGTTGATGTGGAACGAAATGGATCGGAGGCCTTTGGCTAGCGAAGATGGTTTCCTGTGATATCATTGATTAGTTGTCAAAAATAATACAAAATGAAAAATTATCTAAATTAGTCCGATACGGTCTCAGTGTGTGTTGGAAGACTGCGCTCAAAAGCTTAAAGTTTTTGGCTGTTTTCATGCGGAAAATTTGGTCATTTTTTGTAACACTTGTTGTGAGGTTTAACGCCATTTTTCAGCACACGATAGGCTATACATGGCGGCCAGTATTAATGGTGGAGGAAGAAACCGGGAAATCACCGGAAAGAACCACCGACCAACGAGTAGCTACTGGCAAGCTTTTTCACATATCCACATTCGCCGAATCCTAGACTCGAACCCACGCAGACAGAGGTGAGATGGCAGGGAACCGTAACGGACAGCGCTTTAGACCACTAGGCCAAACTCGGGGCCCCAACAAACACTTGTAAAAAGGTCAAAATGTTAAGGACATCTCCGTCATTAGAAGTAAAAGAACAAAAATTCAGCAATATTTAATCCAACTGTTTACTCAGCTAATTATCCTTAGAACTAGAAATTATACAAAATTATGACATCGGTAACACTAGAAGACATTTATTTCAATTTTTTAAAAAAATGAACAATAGGGTAATTGGCAAATTTAGCCAAAATAGTTATCCACATTTATTTTCTTTCAAAATATAACAGCAATTACTTAAGAAATACAGTACACAAGCAGCAGAAGGGGTGGAGAGGCGACCAGAAATAATGCAGCTGACTTGGGGGTGGGGGTTGCCCCATTTAATGTTCGATTTCTGAATCTAAGAATTAAAAAAAAAATGCTGTTATAGCAAAGTAGTGTTGACTCATTAAACTATACAAATGCCAATCCGAGGCTTGTATGAGAGAGATCGACCTCCCAAAAAAAATACGCGGCCGACTTTGGGGGTGGGGACTCATGAAGACCACGGAGGCTAAATAATTCTATTTTTCAGCCATGCAACGCTGATTATTAAACTATCAAAAGGACAATCCGAGGTTCGTATGTAAGCATTGTTATTATTCGTGTGGGATTTGATGTGCATATTCAAGGCTCCGTTGTGAGAATGTGGTAATGCTGATTTATTAATCTATGGCTATTAAAAATGAATGACTGCGACTAGGTTGACTGATGTTGAATAGGGGTGACGATCTCCACAAAGTCGGCAGCGTATTTTGTTTTTGGTCGGTCTCTGATACGAGCCTCTGATTGGTATTTGGATAGTTTAACGAATCAACGACATTTGGCGAAATCATAACATTTTTTTGCTTCAGATTATGAAACGGAGCATTAAATGCGAGCAACAACACCAAAGTTGACCGCAAATTAATTGGTCCCCTCCTCCCAAATTTATACAGCTCCGATGGTCTAGTGGTTATAGCGTTCGCTCAGGATGCGAAAGGTCGCAGGTTCGAACCTCGGCCGGTCATAACAAAGACTTTTAAAAATGGTACAAACAGCTGCTTCGCTTGGCGCTCAGCATTAAGAGGTTACGTGTTAGGAAAAGTCGCCCTGATGTCAGGATAATGTGACTGGGTGGGACATCATGCTACATGTCTGCGGCATGATTCTCCAGTGCTAGACATCACCGTGAACTGTCACACTGCAGACATCGCAGCGATATGACAGAAAAATTATTAAAGCTACGTTCAAAATCTTTCACACACACACACACACACACACACACCCCTCCCAACTTCTGCTGGTACACACACATTAGTAAATACCATAATAAAATAGTCCTGAGTCAATGTAAAAAGTGCACAAATGTATACACGTAACACTATAAGAGAACGCGTTACAGGAGAAACAAGAAAATGGCTGTGAAAATTTCTACTCCTTAGCATCAGCCGTAACAAGTTATGCTTACGGTGGAAAATTCAGTGCAAACACAAAAACAACGTCCAAACACGTTATTAGTGTTCGGATAACTTTGGTAAGAACTTCAAGAAATAGTAGTTCTCTCTCTCTCTCTCTCTCTCTCTCTCTCTCTCTCTCTCTCTCTCTCTCTCTCTCTCTCTCTCTCTCTCTCTCTCTCTCTCTCTCTCTCTCTCGTCCGTTTGACTTAACTTCAGTCATCATTCATAAGTCCACACAGAGGTGACCTTTTCATATTTAATTAATAATCTTTAGGAACATTATAATAGGCTGAAGAAACAACAACAAGACATTAAACACATCACAGTATGTGTGCCACATAACCAAGAAATTTACCATATAATTACGACAGTTTCCCAGTTTGTATTATTGGTTATATAAACACTGTAGATAAATCCCAAGGAAATGTGTACATACCGTTACGACGAAAGATATTCTTGTAGGTTACTTGGTATAATTTCAATTTCAAGGTTTTTATCCACCACAAATTCTTTTTATCTAACTCCAGATTTCTACGTCGTTTTCTTAAATTATGCATGTGAACGGGAGGGGAAGGGGAGCTAGAAAATAGAAAGGATTGTGATAATATTGTGTACCATATTACATTCATTTAGAAACGGGGATTATTAACACTTTTTATGGTTATTATCATATGTCACTAATGATTAATGTGTGTAAATTCATCACTGATCTAGAATCAATAGTACAAGGTTGCGAGAATGTTTATATATGCGTATTATTGCGCCAAGGCATTTGACACTTTGATATAACAATAGTAATGGTATATCAATTTGCTTTCTACCAACATCTTAAATGCCTTGTTACGGTGCACAAAAGTTGCAAATAATAACATCCAACACAAATTAGATTCCCAGTCAATTTTTAATGTACACCCAAGCTAGGGCTCAAGACAACTGCCCTTTACGCAGAATAGAGTGGTAGTTGTACACCAGAGCGATAGTTTATCAAAAATACAGAATGGAGACAGTCAGATTTCATTAACATTCTAAATTCTTGCTTTACAGTGATGATAATATACGGACTCCAAGTCCCATTGGTCAGAATCTTTATCATTATCAGGTGTGTGAACTAGGTAGAATTTGATTTTAATATTACCATATATGACCGCTTAAAATCCTTTAAACTAAAACTATTGTATACCTCTCATGTCTTTTGTCTTAATGATAATCAATATTTATACAATAAACTGGAGGAAAATGTTAGACTGAAACACCTTACTCATTAAGAGAAAACCTTAGTTTTCGAACAATATTATACAGGATAGATAATCAAGACTGAAGAGTCACTATTTGTCTGTATACAGTTCTATGATATACCTTACTTCGTGAGATTTGAAAGTTCTAGCATCGTCCTGGCAATTAGATTTCTGTCAAATAATATACAGTGGCTCGCTAAATACAGTGGCTGAATACAAAATTTAGCACATCTAAAACATTTTGGATTCACTTAAACTCAATTTGATCTGCATTACGAAATAATTTAATTAGTGCACAAGATATAATACACATCACCACTTGGGTCTTATTTCATATTAATCCAACAAGAATGAACACTAAAAGAACATAGTCATAGACTCCAGTACGTGACAATCCATAAGCATTTGCATTCTCTGCTCCCCGACGGGGAGCAGATCGTGAACGCGTATTGTTGCATACACATGGACCATCTCATGTTTGGGGGGGGGCTTTCTTTTGGCTAAGCCATGCTACCGGCTTATGAGGAGTTTCGATACTGAAGGGAGCACTGCAGAAGTAGTAGTGACGAAATTATATCACCCATACTATAGCAATGCATTCTTTCTCAATTTCAGAATAATTCTGCTCCCAGAAGTACGTCTTTATTGTCACCGTACTGACTCAAAACATTTCTAATGCTCACATCACTTGTATCCGTTTGTAGTACAAATGGGCGTTTAAAAACAGGGTTGATCAAGATAGGTGCCTTTATAAATGCATTCTTCAAGTCACTGAATGAGTTAACAGCTGTCTCATCCAATGTTAGACGAATGCGCTGCCACTTCCTTGTCAAAATACAAAGCGGAGCTGAGAGCAAATCGAAATTCTTAATCAATGTTCTATAATAGCCCACCATTCCTAGAAAGAATCGAACCTCTTTCTTTGTTGTAGGTAGTGGGAAGTCAAACACAGCTTTGACTTTGGCGTCGTCAGGTTTCATTTGTCATCCACCAGCAATGGGACCAAGGGAAATAATAGTATCCTTTCCAATGTCACACTTGGAAGGTTTAATTGTCAGATTGTTTTCTCGCAATCTCTCCAAGACTGCTCGCAGATCCTGAAGGAGGTCATTCCAGGACTCACTACAAGTAATGGTGTCATCTAAGTAAGATGCAACATCATGTAAGTTGGACAGCAACAAGTCCATCATGCTCGAAAATTAGCAGTTAAAGTTTTTATCCAGAAAGGCATAACAGTAAATTCATAAAGTCCATAGGGCATCACAAAAGCAGATTTCTCCTGCGTTTCTTTAGACAGAGGTACCTGCCAGTAACGTTTGATCATGTCGAGTTTGCTAATATATTTTGCATTTCCCAGTTTCTCAAAAAGTTTGTCTATTCTTGGTTTAGGATAGGCATCAAAGAGTGTGATGTTAATTTTTCTGTAATCAAGACAAAGTCGCACACTTTCATCTTTCTTTTGAACAAGATCAATTTGTTAACTCCAAGGGCTTGTAGAAGGTCTTATTAATTCTTGCCGTAACATGTCATCTACTATAGCTCCGACTTCAGCCCTTTTTGCATGGGGAATACGATAGGATTTCTGCGTGATCAGAATGTCTGATGATGTTCAAATGTTGTGAGTGTTCAAACTGGTTTTGCCTGGTTTTGAAACTGACACATCTTCAAACTCAGAACATAACGTTCACACCTGTTCTCCCTGTTCCTTCGTCAATCTACCATTCAGACTGATTCTGTATAAACTCTCCATATCGACCAGTTGGATATCAATCTGTTCTCCTCCATCAAATTCATCACACATAGCAGCTGATAACAGTACAGCTCTCTTTTACTGACGTAATAAGTTACTATGGTAGGTTACTGGTCCTCGCCTACCACAAATGTTAATCTTGTAATTAACGTCACTAACCTTACGAATGACATGATAAGGTCCCTTCCAGTTAGCTCTCATCTTTGATACATCGGATGGTAACAAAACGAGAATATCATCTTCCAGTCTAAATTTTCTTTTGGTAGCATTTTTATCGTACCATGATTTAACTTACTTCTGATACTCTGTCAGATTTTCTTTCACTAACTCACTTACATCAACCAATCTCTAGCGAATTAAAAGCAAGTGTTCTACAGTTGACTTATGTGTCTCACCCTCACCGGTGAATAGATCCTTAAGAATCTACATGGACCTCTTACTGGCCAACCATGCAGCAGCTCAAACGGCGAAAGCCCAGTTGCCTCATGTGGTACCTCCCTATAGCAAAACAGTGTGTATGTCAGCATCACATCCCACTCTTCACCGTTCATGGAACACAGTTTCTCCAAGACAGCTTTGAGTGTGCCATTAAATCTTTCTACCTTTCTATTAGATTGTGGCATGTAAGGAGAAGTTTTTATCCCCTTGATGTTCAACATGTTGTCGAGTTATTTTAGAACACTAATTGTGCAGCTGGTCCCTTGGTTTGTACGGATAATCCCATATATACCAATCCGACAAAATAGGCCAATTAAGGCATTCGTCTATATTTGTGCCTCTGAGTCCTTCAAATAAATTGCTTCCCGATAAATAGTGGCTTTGTCTATGATAGTTAGTATATATTTGTTCCCGGCCGTTGTGTGCTGTGGTGAGCCAGCGACATCCATCACAATTTTAACAATAGGGTCAGACATAATTGTTGGATATACCATCGGAGCTTTCACCTTCCCTGTTCTCCTTGCTGTCTTTTGATAGATGTCAAAGGCCTGACAGTGCCTCTAAATATCCCCAAATATTACTGGCCGGTAAAACGCAGTTGTTGTTCTTGCATTCGTTTTCTCATTTCCTAGATGACCAGCATGAGGTCTATCATGCGCCAGCTCCATCACTGATTGACATAACTGCTTTGGCGAAACTAATTGGATTCCATTTCTTTCTCCATCCGACGACTTCCACTTCCGTTTTAAAATTCCATGCTCCCAGAAAAAATGAAAATATGCATTGTCCACACCTTCTGCTTCACTTTCAGATGGCAGGTACTTTTCTCTCACACCAGCCAACGAGCTGTAATTTCTTTGATACTGAAACATAAATTCCACAATACCACTGTGCAGCTGTTCAAGCGACAGGTTCTTGTCACCAGCCTCATCATCACGATGGATGTCATCCGCGTCCTCATCAGGACCATGATCACTATCTTCGCCAGAATTTTTCACTTTCTTCAGCTTTCTCTTTCAGCGCCCTTGCCTGGTTCCTTGTTTCTACCATAGTCCCTTTTTTGCCTATGTAGAATGACCATATCCAGAAGCGATTGTGCTGCCAAGTCAGACACAAGTCCTGGACATGACCCGTGTAGTATGGCCTGTCTAA